TGGGTGATGGTGAAGGCACCTCCCCCGGAGGAGGGCCGGGTGGAGAATCTGGAAAATCTCGACAAGAGAGCGGTTTTCTCTGTCCCTGGGTCCCAGGAGGGCACGGAGAGACGCGGACGGACCAGCACCGGACCACACTCATCCTCCTCCATCGCCAGCAGTGGGCAGTTCGAGAGCGTCAACAAAGGCCCTACTCACGCACCCTCTGCCAAACTGTGGAACCAGGTAAGCACACTCATCCTCCTCCATCGCCAGCAGGCAGCAGCAGGCGGTTCGAGAGCATCAACAAAGGCCCTACTCACGCATCCTCTGTCAAACTGTTGAACCAGGTAAGCGTTGCACCGCACACTCAGACCCCTCTTCGGTCCGATCACAAGCCACCCGAGTTGGGTCCCTGCGTTCCACCTTGCTGCCCCACTACGGGTACGGCGGTGGTTCCGCTGGTCCCGCTTGCACGGTATCTGGGTGCCTGGCTAGCACTACCCAACCCGTCTCGTTGGCTTCTGCGGACCATCAGCAGAATACAGGGTTTAACAGCCCTTACTTCATTGTACCCGAGAAAGGCGGTGGGTTACGTCCAATCTTGGATCTGCATGTTTTGAACCGGGCCCTTCGCCGGTTACCGTTCAAGATGTTGACGCAGAAACACATCTTCGGGTGAATCCGTCCTCGAGATTGGTTTGCAGCAATCGACCTGAAGGATGCGTACTTTCATGTGTCGATCCTTCCGCGCCAAAGATCATTTCTGCGGTTCGCAGAATCAGTTCTGTCCCTGTCTCCCCGTGTCTTCACGAATGAGGGGGCTCTTGTTCCCCTCAGAGAGCAGGGTGTTCGCATCCTCAACTATCTCGACGATCGGCTTATACTAGCACAGTCTCGGGATCATTTGTGTGAGCACAGGGACCTGGTGTTCCGGCACCTCAGCCAGTTGGGTCTTCGACGAGGTCCTGCCCTCCGGGCTGTCCTTGTCGCCCTGAGTCTTCACGTAAGTTGCGGAGGCAGCCCTTGTTCCCCTGAGAGATTCCCGCATTCCCAACTACCTGAACGACTGGCTCATACTAGCTCAGTCTCAGCATCAGTTGTTTGCACACAGGGACTTGGTGCTTTTGTACCTCAGCCGGTTGGGCCTTCAGGTCAACTGGGAAAAGAGCAAACTCTCCCCGATGCAGAGGATCTCTTTTCT